TCCATGAAACTGATCCTAGAGCTCCGCGATTTTTTCGAAATCTCTTAAAGACGTCCTATTAGAATGTTATGAGTTGTGACCGGAATATTAATCGTAGAAAACACGGATTGGTTCACCGGAAGATCCGGAACATCCGTAAAAGTGTTCAATTCATGAAACTGATCCAATTTTTTCAAAACAGCTTATTGACGTCTTATCATTATGAATTGGGAGTTGTGTTCGGAAAATTGACCATAGGGACCACGGAATGGCCTTCCAAAGGATCCGGATCATCCGTTAAAATGGTTCATTCATAAAACTGATCCTAGAGCTTTTTCGATTTTTAGAGACCCCTCATAGATGTCGTATCAGAACAAAATGGGAGTTGTGACCGGAAAAAGAACCCTTGGTTCCACGAGATGGTCTACCAGGAAGATCCGGAACTGCCGTAAAAGTGTTTAATTCATGAAAGTGAGCCTAGAGCTCCACATTTTTTTTTATCAAAACTACGCATTGGCGTCTAATTAATTCATTTGTAGTCATTGCAAGAAAATTAACCCTGGGGACCAGTGGACCCTCCGAAAGATCCGAAACATCCGTAAAAGTTAACAATTCGTGAAACTGATCCTAGGGCTCAGTGTTTTTTTTATTCGAAAACACTCATAGACGTCTTATAAATATGAATTCGTAGTTGTGATCGGAAAATAGACCCTTGAGACCATGGAATCATAGACGTCTCATCAGAATAAATTTGGAGTTGTTACTGGAAAATGGGTCCATGGGATGGTGTTCCGGAATATCCAGAACGTCCGTTAAAATGTTTTATTCATGGAACTGATCTCAGCACTGTGTGGTTTTCTTAGAACCGCTCATTGGTATGATTTTTCTATATATTTTCATGGATGATTTCTAGGTGGTATTTAAGCATTTTAGTAGCATCTAGGCACTTTTAACTGATTTTTTGAAGATTATTCTTTGGATTTCTTGGACTTTTTTCTTTTGACTTCTTGTAGATTTTTCTTTGGAGTTACAAGTTAACGAGAGACTATCTGTTATGTTGTTATAGTTGTCATACGTTTTATTTATCACATCAAAATGTTATTTAAAAAATCATTTAAAAGTATCGTCTTATTGAGTTCTTATTCATATTTATTTATTTAGCACATCCTCCAGAGATAGATAAGCCATGTATCTATTCTTCATTATATTCTTCTTTCAAAGTTACCTACATTTTACGGTACCTTCTTTTAGTGTCCACGTTACCAATTTTGTCGATTTTTTAAACCAATTGTACACGCTAGAAACGAGATTCTAAATTATTGCACAAATTTTTTATATTTTTGAATAACAAAATACAAGATCGCACTATACACATGGCCACAATCTTTACAATCACAAGGCGTCGGATGTAAAGTTTATCAATCATCTACTTAGAAAGGTGAAGGGAACCCATACTACTTATAACCATCTAAATATTGAAGAGACCATTGGATTGTGCACTTTTTGGAGAATTTGATATTTTTTTTAGCAATTGAAATAGTAAACATATTTAACAGATTGTACTATGGTATACTTTACGTCCATTTACTGGTCACAACTCTGAATTAAGGGTTTCGAAAAAAAAAACCTCAGAGCTCTTGGACATTTTCAAGCATTGACCACTTTTACGGATGTTCAGGATCTTCCAAAGGACCATCCCGTAGTCTCCAGAGTCCATATTCCAAACACAACTCCGATTTCATTCTGATACGATGTTTATGACTGGTTTCAAATACACCACGGAGTTCTAGGATAGGTTTCATGAATCGATCACTTTTCGGATGTTCCGGATCTTTTAGTAAACCATCCCGTGACCCCCAGCATCCATTTTCTGGTCACAACTCCTAATTCATATTGATAAGACGTCTATGAGTGGTTTCGAAAAAACCGTGGAGCTCTAGGATCAATTTCAATTATGGACCAGTCTATGAGTGGGTTCGAATTAAGCGCGGAGCACTAGAATCTGTTTCGTGAATTGACCACTTTTACGGATGTTCCGGATCTTTCGGAAGACCATAGCATAGTCCCCAGAGTCCATATTCCATTAAAAACTTTGAATTCATTCTGATAAGACGTCTATAAGTGGTTTCGACAAAACCACGGAGTTCTAGGACCGGTTTCATGAATTGACAACTTTAACAGATGTTCCGGATCTTCCAGTGAACCATCCCGTGGTCCCCAGTATCCATATTCAGGTCACAACTCCGAATTCATTCTGATGAGATGTCTATAAGTTGTTTCGAAAAAACCGCGGAGTTCTGGGATCAATTTCATGAATTGATCACTTTTAAGGATGTTCCGGATCTTCCGGTTAACCATCCCATGGTCCACAGAGGCCATATTCAGGTCACACCGCCGAATTCATTCTGATAAGATGTCTATAAGTTGTTTCGCAAAAACCGAGAAGTTCTAGGATTAGTTTCATGAATTGACCACTTTTACGGACGTTCCGGATCTTTTAGTGAAGCATCCTGTAGTCCCTAGCGTCCATTTTCTGGTCACAAATCTTAATTCATTGTAATAAGACGTCTATGAGTGCTTTCAAAAAACCGCGGAGCTCTAGAATCTGTTTCATGAATTGACCACTTTTACGGATGTTCTGAATCTTTCGGAGGACCATCATGTAGTCCTCAGAGTCTGTATTCTGGTTACAACTCCAAATTCATTCTGATAAGACGTCTACGAGCGGTTTTGAAAAAACCGTGGAGTTCTAGGATCAATTTAATAAATTGACCACTTTTTCGGATGTTCCGGATCCTCCGGAGGGCCATCCCGTAGTCCTCGGAGTGTATATTCCAGTAACAACTCCAAATTCATTCTGATAAGACGTCTACGAGAGGTTTCGAAAAAACCACGGAGCTCTAGGATAAGTTTCATGAATTGACCACTTTTACGGATGCTCCGGATCTTTCGGAGGACCATCCCGTAGTCCGTAGAGTCTATATTCTGGTCACAACTTCAAATTCATTCTGATAAGACGTCTAAGATAGGTTTCGTTAAAACCACGGAGCTCTAGGATAAATTGCATGAATTGACCACTTTTACGGATGTTCCGGATCTTCCGGTGGACCATCCCGTGGTCCTCTGGGTTCATATTCAGGTCACAACTCCGAATTCATTCTGATAAAACATCTATGAGCGGTTTCGAAAAAACCGCGGAGCTCTAGGATTAGTTTCATGAATTGACCACTTTTACGGATGTTCCGGGTCTTCCACAGAACCAGACTTGTGACTTTCCGGATGCTAAATGTTCCCAAAAGGTGGCAAATATTCTGTTTAATAACTGTTCAGAAGACACCAGGAAGTTATCTCTTCAAATTACCCTACAATCAGTGTTTGGTCCCAATTAGGTCAAATCCCATATGCTACGTGTATTCGTTAATGCCGGATCGACCGCACTATAGGAATCCGGCAAGAACGAATCCGTACTATAGGAATCTTGACTGTTAACCTTTTCCACAGTAGTTTCTGGGTTGTAAAATTAACGATCCCAGGTCTTCAAGCTTCGCAATGTAGTCTGGTCTCATGAAATTATCGAGGATTTCCGAGGAATATTTAAGGCACTTCCGATTGGAACAAGCGGTTTAGTTTGTTAACTTTTGGTAGAACAAATTCAAAAAACCACAAGCAAAGCTCCATCATGGGGTTCTCCAAGATACCGCTGATTTCTTTCATCTTCTCGGCATTAAGTCCACATTCGAATTAGTATAATTTAAGTATACTCTGAGAGCTGGAAGTCTTTCTAGCATCCGTTTCACCACCTGCTCTAATGACAACCAGTGTGTGGCAGCCGGGTTGAGCATTTCCAATGGTTTCAAGTCCATAATTGCTTGAAGCTGTTCAAATTTCGAAAATAATTTTGTTTACTTTTTGTTAAATTTCAGGAACCAACTGGTAAAAATCTGTATTAAGTTTTAAATATCTGTATAAGGTCTGTACGAAACTTCAAATATCTGTATAAATACAGACATATCTGTATATCTGGCACCGCTGGCTGTGAACGATTTGCCGAGTTAAATTTAACTCGTGTTTAAAAGTGACATTTCGAAAGTTATTTCTTATGTTAGAAAATCCCTGTGCTACCTATCGATCGGTTTTCGGTCAGAACTCAGCCACGGTTTGTCAAATTTATTTTCTTGTATGTCAGAAATAACCATGCTTGGGTAGCAGGGTTAATCGATAACTTTCCATCTGTAAAATTTTTACCAAAAGTTAAAAAATCACCAAATGATTCAGAGTCTACATAGGCTCTTTAATCCGGGATGATTTTAGTTACAGGAATAAAACATCCAAGGAAATAGTTCCGTTACTATTCCGAAATGTTTTGATGGTGTTTTCGGTAACAAATTTAAAATGGAGTTATCTGTTATCTGGAGTTATTCACACATACAGTAATACAGTATTTTGGTTTAAATTCAACTTTGAAATGTAACATTTCGACAGCCACCATATGCAAAATGCCGCCGATGCACGCCACCGCCGCCGCTACCGATCAAAATGAACGGCGTCACGCCACCTCGCCGCCACCACCGAGGAAAAAACGGTTCCCAAGCAGCCGCCGCCGATGAACGGACCGGCGCACAGGTCTATACTTAAAGGGGTTAGATTTTTGATAAGACTTCAGTTGGAATGACAGTGATGAAGACTGCACATTGCATACGTATTCGTCATTAACCAAAATTAATTTAATTGTCTAAATGTTAGACAATATTTTTTCTATTTTATTATTTTAATTACCTTTCATTTGATATAATAAACTTTGAAATCGGCCAGTAGTGGTTCGAAAGTTGTGAATTATTGATAAAAGTCGTTTTTGGAAAACAAAAACGATTTTTTGGCCCCCCTTACATGGAAAAGGCCACCCTAATGACAAAATAAAAAAATACGGGTCTGATATTTTGCGATAAGAAACAAATCTACAATTTTTTGCGAAATTCTGAGAACTTTTGTATCGAATGGCTTTTATCTTAAATAATCTTAAATGTATGTATCGATTGAAGATTTTTAAATAAATTCATCGAATTCAAAGGAGCTTAAAAGTAAAGAATTAACGACAAAAGTATTTATTTTTGAATAAAGATTTCTTAAGAAGTTTCACGAATGGTTGGTAGGGATTCGACAAAGCTGTCGCAGCAATTTTATAATCTGAAATTGGAATGAAGTATTAACTTTAGTAATCCATAAGTCCGCTAAAGTATCTTTTTACAGGTTGATAGCTACAGTGCTTATAAAAAAGTTTAGAAGCTTTTTGTTTGCCGTACGTCAGTCTTATCTTGCAAAAGGGCCAACCAGCTGAATTCAGCTCAATTTGTCGGGTATGACGAAGCGCGCTGTCCACGATTTGCGGCATCCTTGATGTACGCCTCGGAGATCGAATTGCAGCCATCCGTCGAACAAGACACACAAGCAGCGTTTCCTTCACAAGGATCGACGTTGACTCCGAGATCCGAAGTGCAGCCTCGGGTTACTAAAATATTCAAATATTAAATGCTTGGATTTCACATTTTAACCTGTTAAATTACCTTCAAAATCGACCAACACCGAGTAGCACCGATCGTTGAGGTCAAATCTTCCGCAGTAGTACGAAAGGGTTGCATTTGTCTGCTCTTCAGCACACGTGGCGTTCTGGCCTGGGCTGCAATGGAAGCATCTCAACCATCGATGGTTGTTACACTGCCGGCCACTACAGCTGTAGCAGGACCTATCCGACTCATCGTTGCACCGGTCTTGTTCATCTTGGTGAAGCTTTTTGACACAGCCCCGGTCCAGTTCCCCGTTTCGCCACATTTTAATGTAGCATCTATCCTCCCGCTCATCGCACTCACTATTGGTGGTTGTTCCTTCAACACATCGGAAGTCCCCCTCCTTACATTGGACGCATCTGCTAACTGTTTTCAATTCAACCTGGGTGGCATCGTTGCAGGAATCGCCCTCACATGTGATACAGTACTTGTTCCCTTCACACGCATCCCGGCCTGGCTCTAGGTCCGATTGGCAGCCACGAATCACTGAAAGACCATTTTCCAATACTATTACAACTTTCAAAGTATGCTTCAATTCTCACATTCATCTCCAACGACCATAGCGTAGCATCGATCTTCCACCGTATAATTCCGGCAAAACGAAACCCTGTTCGGCTGGAACGCGCACTTGCTATTGCTGGATTTGGAACAATGGTGACACTTGTGCCATTGCTCCTTGTTGCAACCACCGGACAGGGAGCAGATCGTACAAGATTGATCATTTGGATCGGTACACTTTGCTTGTTCCTCGTCCGGAAGCGTACTCAGGCAACCTCTTTCCAGGATGAATCCCCCGGAAACGGTAAGCGAGTAGCAGCTGTCGTCCTGCTGGGCACATTCGGTTGGAGGGAATGTTCCCTGGTCGCAGCCTGGATCATCCGTTGAACACTGGAGGCAACTGGTTTGGGCTGTCCGTTTTGTGGGGGAATTAGCAAGGTAATAGTAATATTTAACAGCAAATAATTTACCGTGAGCGAGGGAAATTAAAATTGCAATGGTCACCAGAAACCCACAGAGCACCTGCATCGTAGAAGACTTAATCAATTGATACGATATCGACCTGCAGTACGCTGAAGTACATTGCAAACTGATATTGTTGCGGAAGCTCAAGTGCCATGAAAGCTTCGAGGGGGTTTTTGCTACCGCTGAAGTAAGTATTGATTTTAAACAAGATAAAATTATGGAATTAGCTTAGGGAGAATAACGTCTTTACCAGTAGATATATCCTATCCCAAGCAAGGGGAAACGTACATTTCTCGACAATTTATGTATAAAATTTAAATTTATTGGGGTTTAAATATTATTTGAAAACCCTGACCGTTAGGTGGATTTAACGGTGACAAGCGCCTTTATCGCATAATATTGAATAGATTAATTTTATATTCTGATCACTATCGAAGGGGATCCGGGACATTTAGTCGAATGCCGGTTGGTCGAATGCCTTTTGGCCAAATACTGATTGGTTTGATTCGTTAATTTTATGACAAGCTGCTTACTGTAAAAAAAATACTACCACAACAAAACTCCAAACAACTGCTCATGTTTGAAGGAAGGAAAAATCTTTTTTTTTAATTAAATTTTAGAACAAGCTGCATTTACTGTGCAAAAAAAAGATCATTAAAACTGTTCATGTTTGAAAGAAGGAAAAATCCAAGGGATAAGTCACTCAGTACAGTGTGCCGATAGTAGATTCGGCAAGCCTGGGTACATTCATCGGCACACCTTCGACACAATCTCGTAGGTATTGGATTGATCACTACATAAAAATGGGAGCACTGCTGGACAGCTGTCATTGAAATTGTTCACAACATTCACTGTGTATGTCAGAAACATTCTCTAATTGAAAATACTAGAAGAACTCAGACCAGCAATTCACTTCTTGGTTCACATTTAAATTTGAAATGTAGGCTTCCGAGGGCTGTCGATTGCTATCGATGGTTCCTTCCAGTTGGCGTAGAGGCGTTTTATTCGTCAGTAGAATCCTTATCGAGCACGATATTCGACATTTTCAACAAACCAAAGCATTCACAAAAGCTGTCAGAAATACCGGGTTGCCAAATATACCATAATCCCATCCAAAAAATTGTAAATCTCCACTAACCTCGAGACGACCGCGAGTAATCGGTTCAATTCGTTTAAATCTAGATTTAAGACATTAATCATGTATAATGAAAATGATAACTCGGCTCTGTAAAGTTTATTCAATTGAGCCTGTACAAATAAATTAATATAAAAAAAAAAAAAATATACCATAATATTCGTATTTTACAAAAATCACAGCTTGCTCTATGAATGGCACTGCCAGCACAATCGGCACATCTGCGGTACACTAGAGGCACACTTGTGGCACACTGAGAAAAATGTTGACCCAAGATTGGTGTGTGGGGTGACCTACCCCTTGGATAAATCGCATATATTTTTTTAAATTCTGATTTGTCTTAATTTTATATCAAGCTACATTTACTGGGCAAAAAATAATAAGATCATAAACACTCCATAGTAAACGGACATAGTTCAGGGAAGGCCTGCTGAAGTTCAGCGAAGTCCTGCCGAAGTTCGGAGAAGTTCAGGAAAATGCTGCTGAAATTCAGGGAAGTTTTGCCGAAGTTCAGAGATGCTCTGCTAAAGTGCAGGAAAGTTATGCCGATGTTCAGGAAAATTGTGCTGAAGTTCAGGGAAGTTTTGCCGAAGTTCACAGAAGTTCTGCTGAAGTTCAGGAAAGTTCTGCCGTAGTTCAGGGAAATTATGCTGAAGTTCAGGGAAGTTTTGTCGAAGTTCAGAGAAGTTCTGCCGAAGTTCAGGAAAGTTCTGCCATTTAAATTCTTTGAAATCAGGGAAGGCCTGCTGAACTTCAGGGAAGTTCTGCCGTAGTTCAGGGAAGGCCTTTCATAGTATAGGGAAGTCCTGCTGAAGTTCTGCCGTAGTTCAGAAAAATTCTGCTGATGTACAGGGAAGTTTTGCCGTAGTTCAGAGAAGTTCTGCCATTTAAATTTTTTGAAATCACGGAAGGCCTGTCGTAGTACAGGGAAGTTCTGCTGAAGTTCAGCGAAGTCCTGCTGAAGTTCTGCCGATGTTCAAGAAAATTCTGCTGAAGTTTAGGGAAGTTTTGCCGAAGTTCAGAGAAGTTCTGCTGAAGTTCAAGAAAGTTCTGCCGTAATTCAGGAAAATTATGCTGAAGTTCAGGGAAGTTTTGCCGAAGTTCAGAGCAGCTCTGCCGAAGTTCAGGAAAGTTCTGCCATTTAAATTCTTTGAAATCAGGGAAGGCCTGCTGAACTTCAGGGAAGTTCTGCCGTAGTTCAGGGAAGGCCTATCGTAGTACAGGGAAGTCCTGCTGAAGTTCTGCCGTAGTTCAGGAAAATTATGCTGAAGTTCAGCGAAGTTTTGCCAAAGTTCAGAGAAGTTCTGCTGAAGTTCAGAAAAGTTCTGCCATTTCAAAACAGGGAAGGCCTGCCGAAGTTCATGGAAGTCCTGCCGTAGTTCAGGGAAGGCCTGTCAAAGTTCAGGAAAGTTCTGCCATTTAAATTCTTTGAAATCAGGGAAGGTCTGCTGAAGTTCAGTGAAGTACTGCCGTAGTTCAGGGAAGTCCTGCTGAAGTTCAACGAAGTCCTGCCAAAGTTCGGAGAAGTTCTGCTGATGTTCAGAAAAATTCTGCTGCAGTTCAGGGAAGTTTTGCCGTATTTCAGAGAAGTTCTGCTGAAGTTCAGGAAAGTTCTGCCGTAGTTCAGGAAATTTATGCTGAAGTTCAGGGAAGTTTTGCCGAAGTTCAGAGAAGTTCTGCCGAAGTTCAGGAAAGTTCTGCCATTTAAATTCTTTGAAATCAGGGCCTGCTGAACTTCAGGGAAGTCCTGCTGTAGTTCAGGGAAGTTCTGTCGTAGTACAGGGAAGTCCTGCTGAAGTTCTGCCTTAGTTCAGCAAAATTCTGCTGAATTTCAGGAAAGTTCTGCCATTTAAATTCTTGAAAATCAGGGAAGTCCTGCTGAAGTTTAGGGAAGTCCTGCTGAAGTTCAAAGAATTTCTGCCGAAGTTCAGGGAAGTCCTACCATAGTTCAGGGAGGTCCTGCCGAAGTTCAGTAAGCTTCTGCCGAACTTCAGAGAAGAACCCTACGAAGTCATAAAACATAAGTCCTAATGTTAATATGTAGTCTACGATTTGATTGATTGACGAATAAATAAATAAATTCGGCATGCGATCTACGTACGCTAATCACTGCGCTACAAGTGTGTTAGAATACCATGCGGGCCTTTAAAAATAACTTTAACCAAGCTACTTAAGCCACAAATAGCCTTTTATCCACTCCGCACACCAATCTTGGGTCATCTTTTTTTGTCAGTGTGCCGCAAGTAAGCCGATTGTGCTGGTCATAGAGCAAGCTGTGATCGTTTGTAAAATACCCATCCCGGCAACCCGGTATTTCTGATAGCTTGAATGTTATGGTTTGAAAGCAAGGATAAACCGGATTGAGGATGACGCGGGAAATGGAGAGTGTGCGAAATTTTGGTGTTTTGCGTTCATACGATAATAAAAGTCCTGTGTTTTAGAGTTTTATAATACCATCAAAGGCAAAGCAGAAACCTAGCCTTTCGTGATGTAAAAAGCAACGGTCTATCAGCGGCTGAAAAGAGTTCGAACCGGTGGGGAACACTCGGGGAACATTGTTAGGGATCGACTATGGAGGATGATGAATAGACTTCTGTGGTTTGTTTTGTGTGAGTTGTAGCATTATTTGAATTAAGGTTATCTTGAGCAAAGTTGTTCAGGTGATTTTGTCCTTTTGGATGGTGGTCATATTAGTTCAGAAGTCTCTCACTACGCGGCGCTAGTGTGCAAGTGATCTTCCTTAATATGTTATGTCTCGAAATCTTGTACATATAAGATGGTGCTGTGCAATGTGAGAACAGGAACCGGTAAAGGGATGACGTGTAGAGGCCGGAAATCGATTTCTGACGCCATTTTAAAATCCAAGATGGCGTTAATCGGTTTATGAAAAACTGTCAAATACCCTACAGTGTGGGTATTTCTGGAAAGGGGACGACGTATAGAGGCTGGAAATCGATGCCAGACGACATTTTCAAATCCAAAATGGCGGCCATCGTTTAATGAAAAACTGTCAAATACCCTACAATATGGGTATTTACGGAAAGGGAACGACGTGTCGAGGCCGGATATGGATTTCAGACGCCATTTTGGTTCAGAGATGGCGGTCATCGGTTCAAGAAAACCTGTCAAATACCCTAAAATATGGGTATTTTTGGAAGGAAGATGACGTGTAGAGGCCGAAAATCGATGTTAGATGCTTTTTTGAAATCCAAGATGGCGGCCATTGATTCAATAAAAACTGTCAAATACCCCACAACATGGGTATTTTCGGAAAGATAACGACGTGTAGAGGCCGGATATTGATTCCAGACACCATTTTGGTTCAAAGATGGCGATCATCGGTTCATGAAAAACTGTTAAATACCCTACAATGTGGGTATTCCCAGAAGTAGACGGTGTTTATAGGCGGAAAATCGATGCCAGATGCTTTTTAGAAATCCAAGATGGCGGCCATTGTTTCAAGAAAAACTGTAAAACACCCTACAATATGGGTATTTTCGGAAAGGGAACGACGTGTAGAGGCTGGATATCGATGCCAGACATCATTTTTTAATCCAAGATGGCGACGTTTGCTTTAACGTAAACTATTTATGGGGACGACGTGTATAGGCCCAAAATCGATGTCTGCCACCATTTTGGGATCCAAATTTGAGGTAATTGGCTTTAGAAGGGACATTCGGTGGGAATGGACATTCGGTGGGAATGGACAGCCACGTACCAGGAACATGAATCTTGTCTAATTAATGTTCTAGGGTATTTTGGAGCTCATAAACTTGCATCTTATTATTTTCCCTGAATAAAGCTTACCAAACATATTGCGTATAATTTATCGTGTATATTGTTCTTCCACTGCGTGAAAAGGGTTTCGACTTACCTTAGGAAATATTGCATTTTTGCACTCTGTTCGACATTGCTGTCGAATGTGCAGAAGCTTTCTAACTCGGAGAGTTGATTTATTTCAACTTTGCCGTA